GGCCCATCGATGCAGCCTGTCCAGGTCCCTCTGCAGAGCCTTCCTACCCTCGAGCAGATCAACACTCCCGCCCAACTTGGTGTCGTCTGCAAACTTACTGAGGGTGCACTCGATCCCCTCATCCAGATCATTGATCAAGATATTGAACAAGACCGGCCCCAAAACTGAGCCCTGGGGAACACCACTCGTGACCGGCCGCCAACTGCATTTAACTCCATTCACCACAACTCTCTGGGCCCGGCCGTCCAGCCAGTTTTTTACCCAGCACAGAGTACACCTGTCTAAGCCGTGAGCCGCCAGCTTCTCTAGGAGAATAGATACTACTAAACAGTTACTCATCTATACATATTACTCATGTTACTCCAGAAGTAGTTTCTAGGCTTTCAGCAGGGAATTCTGATCAAATTAAGTGATCCAGGACAGCCCCATCAATTACAAATTTTGAGAGAGTATCCATGTGTTTTTTCACAGAAGTTTTGATCATTTTTTTCCACAGTATATATATCATGCTTGAAAATACGAATGTAAATTATTTTAGTCTAAAAAACCTCTCAACTTACCTCATTGTTGCCAAGCAGGATTGTTTTTCCCCCCCTTGTTTTTACAGGACAGTTGTTTGCGATCTTTGAATCTGTTGGAAATTAAAGGGACTCTATAACTGAAGATCAACAGTTATCCCACATGCTACCCAGCATTCTTTTACAAGTAAACGTTCCTCGCAATTACCGATTGATGTACGCATTCTTGGCAATTAACCAATCCCTCTTCCTATTGCTCAGTTGAATAATTGTCTCTGCCTTCCAAAGAACACTCCAGAAAGAAGTTACTACACCAGTTGGTTAGAAAGAAACCCACAGCATACGTCTCTGCTTGTAAAACTGTTGCTTTGTACCAATGCAATGTCTATGCGTTCTGTCCTTAGGGTCAATTACAGAGACAGAAGCAGGTCTCCAGAACATCACAGTCTGTTGCTTTGTTCACCAGGCACCACTAAAATATATATTTGGCTACCACAGTCAGGTAAGTAGTCCCAATCAAGTTATTTTCTCTTCTGGCCCATCCCCTTCACACTCTCCTTCCACTAAGCTTACCAGTTGTGTTAGAGGTTTAAGACACCGCATTTTGTTCTTCCCATCTGGTTTGGCAGCTCGGCAGAAGGGAAGGCAAATAGGAGCGTAAGCACAAAAAGGAAGGATGCGCAAGATGCAGGACTGCAACCTAAGAAACCTGTGTCCGTCAAGGCTCCTAGGTTGTTGGAGGGATTTTTGTTCTTTTAAAACTAGTTGAACAAAGAAAGGGATTTTTTATTTTTGACTTAGGAATGGTACTGTAAAAGTTTAGAGAGCAAGAACTTGTATTTAATAATTGAGCCTATGTGAAATTTTGTAAGAGTAATTTGTTTAGGTTGTATGAACTTACTTCTTAAAAGTACAGAATTGCCAATTTGAGTATGTCCACACATACAAGTCTTCCCAAATTTGAGTTCCAGTTTTACCACTGACTTATTTTGTGAGGCTGGAGAGGTCATTGAAACTATTTCCAGAAGTTAATCACTTGTTTTGGTTGCTTCATTTTATAGATGTAAACAATCACGCCTGACTTCTGAAACTGACTGGCAGCAGTAGCTACCCGGCATTTCTTAGGACCACCGTATCTTGGTCATATGTGCTTTTAAAAAGGTGAACCTTGGATCCTCCTTCCCCAGTTGCAAGCTAGACACAACAATACTTACCAATACCGCTGTAACGATTCATTAGTTAAAATTTAAAAGCATATTTAAGATGAAAGTATAAATGTTGTTTACTGTGGTAATGAGACTTCCCGGCTTGCCGTACATTCCTACGTTTACTCAATTGCATACAATAGGCCGTAATGATAAGTAAGGATTGACATTATTACATATTCTCTAATTAAAATAAATGTCTACACAAAATCTTTAGAATTAGCATCATGGCACTTTCCAGTAAGAAAGTGCCGATCAGTTTTGCCAATTAAGTTATGGAATTGAAATGCAAGATTGACCTTAAAAAATTCTTACAGTACCCCCTGTAGAGAACACCTCTTCAAAACAAAATTGACGAAAATAAAAACCCTACGTCAAAATACGAAAAATTCAATCCTCGTTCCAAGAAAAAGGTTTCTGGAACGGATTCCGCTCTCTTCGCGCGCAGCACCTCATAATGGCATTTCGTAATAACTACGTGCAGCCGCGCATAGAGGCGAAGAGCTTCCCCGCGCGCCGCCCAGCCCGGCCGCCCCCTCCCGCACGGGTTCGCTCACGTTCACGCGGG